CTGGCAAGTAAATGTTTAAGGCTTTGTTTTGCGACTCTCAAATTTGCACACCAATTTAGACTCCAAAGCTCAAATCTGCCCACAAAGTATTGGCCCTGTTTCTTGATTTTGACAAAACACAGGACAAGTCAGGAATGATTATGTTATGTGTGTTGGAAAATGTGTGGTCCCATGAATGCTAATCATTCCCAAATCTTCTGGTCATGTAGAAAGATCAATGCGAGGTACGCACTACACGAGAATCAAACCAGTTTTGGGCCTGATTGCGCCCTTCCGCCAATGGTCATCAAAGCCCAGAGGTTGTAGAGATTATCTTGCCAGATTTTCATGTGGTGTTAGGTAAATTAAGAGTACTTTTTGCATCCCCCGATCTGCTCGGTAGTCCATCATGGCTGCACCAATATCAAGTCACAGAATTCACAATCCGATATCCTATTGTGAGGGGGGAATGCACAATAGCAAATCGTTGCTCTCCACACACAATAGGATCAAAACAGTTACATTTATCATTACCTGTCGTTGTGGGTTCTCTCACATTTTCAAAATCTGTTCCATCTTATTTGGAAAATCTTCTAGTGTGGGCCAGCCTAAACCTATTTTGGGTGAATTTAAGGTTTTTACATGTTTAACCTTAAGACAGATTTTAAGCTATAAAATCTGTAAAAAGAGTAAGATTTGGTGTCTTGGCAAAAAATAAGTCATATAAGCAAATAACTAAAAAGTGGTATAAAACAAAACCTTGAGAACTTAAAAACAATGAATGGATACAGTAGGGGTGGAGATGAGATGGTTTCCCTGAGAAACAAAAGAAGACTTCCTTCCAGGAATTGGGAGACAGCCCTGTGTTTGTTTGTTGTTCTACTCTATACTATTCTAGGTCCCCTGACTTCCAGGTTTGCTCCCGTCATAATTACTACATCCGATAGAGGTCGCCTCCTAACTTAACATAAATGTGGTAAATGGTAAACAGACTTGTACTTGTATAGCGCTTTTCTAGTCCTACGACCACTCAAAGCACTTTAACACTACATGTCATCATTCACCCATTCACACCCATTCATACACTGATGACAGGCCTACCATGCAAGGTGTCACCTGCTCATCAGAACAATCTAACCATTCACACTCATTCATACACAAGCAATTACGGGAGAAATTTTGAATCCATTGATAAATGATGTACGTAAAGACAGTAGACAGGAGAAATGTATACCCCAAATGGCCTCACTTTGTAGCTATGTGTTTAGTCCCTTTACTTGTTTGTAAAATATCTATTGTTACAAATAAAAATGCCATTTACCTCCTGCCCAGTGACCAGGAGCAGGCTGCCTTCTTTGCCATACATGACCTGTCTGGAGATGATGTCCAGGAGCAACAGGTCACTCCAGCAGCTGTGCAGCAACTTCATCTGGTCATTCACCTTGGAGCATGAAGAAGGCGTTAAAACCATTCAAGTACAGGTTTTATCTAGCTCATCTTCAAAATAACAGTATCCATTTCTGTTGTTGTCCCCCTGTCAGAGACATTTTCTGTCACGGGGCATGATGGAGGACTCGAACGCAGACCAGACCAGAAGTAGAAGTGAAGTGGAATTTAATGAAAACTTAAACCAGAACAGGAAACTTACAGGAACACAGGGAATTCACGGACGAGACAAGAGACATCGTTTAAAGTTTAGGGCCACTGACCAAGCGTCGGTATTTGACAATTTTGGGAGTCAGAATGTGTTGGTCCAGGTGCTCTGTGTTTTTTATATCAGCAGTTGATATAAACCTGAGTGATTTAGGGTTAGGGTTCACAACACACACAAGTTGTTTTCCACCATGCCATCTGGCAATTTATTGAGACTGATTTTCAGCCCATATTACAACTAATGTACCATACTCTCTCTCTCTGTCTCTCCTATGACAGTAAGCGGATGTGCTTTAAAGTAATCGTTTGGAGTTCTTGATCTCTAGTAGCGCCATGGAGGAATGTTTTCACAGTTTTGGTTGTATTGTACACCTTCATGAGGACACGCATGCACAAGCAAGCGGGTAGTGTAATACACCATCCGGCCGCATCCATAGTTTTTCAAAGCCATGAACAGAGCAGAAGGCCATTCCAGAGACGGACCGGCTGTAGAAACTCAAATTAAGCTGGCTAGTCTCCTAGCAGCGAGGAGTGAGGGAGAGGGACTGTTAGACCCAGCACCTCCACTGGCCCCCAGCCCGCTGTTGGCTCATTTTCTATAGCCACTATAGCATGAAAGCATAGCGGAATTAGCAAGTTAGATAGCCGCTAATTGAGTAAAATGTAACAACTTAATGCTTTGTCCATAAGCTCTTCTCACAGCGTAGGAAAGATGATGATCCCAAATAGCATCCAATCACAAGGACGCATCGAGACAACGAGTACTAGCCAATCACAGCATGGTTGACGCTGCTTCAGTCTTTTGAAGTGGGCGTGGTTTCATCTGAAGTTGGTTTGTAAAAAGATAAGACGCAGTCCTGCCAATGGTTTCAGGCTAGTGAACTAATCTGCAGGAGACAATAATTCTTCAACAAACAGCAATGTTCCAACAAAGACTGGAAAACGACTGCAAGTAAGGAATCATGCAAAAGTTTTCTGAAGATGTAATTTAAGACGTTTGTTAGACCTCAAGGATAAATACAATGAGTTTTGGTTGTAAGCATTGAATGTGAGCAGAACAAAACTCTCTTGGGCCCCTTTAACTGTCGACCCATTAACTTCATTCAGAACAAGGACAGAAGCGGATGCAGGGGGGGGACCTTAAACTCAACCTGCTCAAGACACATACCACAGCACATGTCCATCAGAGTTACAAGTTGGGTATACTGTAATTCAACAGGAAACGTAATATGTAATATGAAAGTATGCCACTATTGTGCCAACATATTTGGACTATTATTTCTATCAGATGATATATCATTGTGCTTGCTGAGATCGCTTCGTGCAGCTACAATGCTAGAAAGATATTCATCGCGGCAACAAACATGAGCTGTCAGAAGATCTCACCTTAAGTTGTTTGAAGAAGATGGATGTGCGAGCCCACTCCACAATGGCAAACAGCGTCTGGTCGGCCATGAGGCACATCAGACCGAAGGTGCTAGGGTTCCCATGTTTCTCCCAGTCCGTGTGCTCCTGCAGGAGACGAGCAGTGATCTTATTCTGCAGCTGGAGCTCGTCTGGATCACAACGCATGAACTCCATCACTAGCTGTGGCATCCTTGGACCGCTTGGAGAGAGAGGTCTTGAGTACAGCTCGTCTGAGTCGATTCCTGCAGCAGAGTTGTTGACGTGCTCTGACTTGATGGTCCAGTTTGAGGAGGAACACTGGTACTGGTTTACACCGGGTGAGTCGGATGGCAGGAGTGAACACAGTGATGGAGGCTGGTAGCTGATACGGTCGTTCTGTGCGGTGGGTAGTGGGGTGCAGTGAAGGATGGGAACTGGATGAAGGCCACCAGTAAAGGTCAAGTCTCTTTGCTGGGTCGAGGAGCCCAGGGGTGGACTGCTGTCTATTCTGAATCCGCTAGCTTGAATCAGAGCCTTTCTCTGCTGCTTGAGGGCACGATCATGCTTGTACATGGGGCCGAACTTGTTCCTGCCACCTCGTATTCGATCTGCACGAACAGCTGATGAGATGAGATTTGTTTAGAGCAGTTTGATTGATGATTTTCACTATGATGTTCACAAACTATGCAAATGGTCAGATTACCCCTTATATTGCTCATTCATGAGGGTGAAACAACACTATGATTGACATTCTTCATATTCCTTATCTTTAGGACCAACTGGAAAAAAAACAAGAATGTAATTGGACTTCTCAGCAAGTCAACATAAAACTAAAACCACTGTGAATTCCTTACACAATAACTGGGGATGCTCTGCATTGCGTTAACTTATGCTTCCTCTCTTCTCACTTGACCCAGAAATTGTTCCCTTTCCGTCATCATAGACAATCTTCTAATCCCTTAAATGAACCTTGAAGGGAGACGAGGAGAGAGGAGGTTTCCTGAAGGGGCTGAGAGCGAGGATACACCGGTCAAACTTATGTGTGCTTGTGTGTTAAATTAATGCATCACACCTGCACTTTCTTGTCACATTATGCCATGGTGTGAATTGAATTAATAGTAAATATAGAAGTTGTCATGAACACTGTTATGCTCATCTGATTATGAGATACAGCGGTATAACAGAACAATGGACAGCTGATGCTTTAGAATGACGGCTCCAAGGCAAGAATGACTCATTGTGTTAAATGCATCGTCTACTCTCTCCTTGCGTCTCTTTCTGGCCTTCTCCTCGAGCATCTCCTGTGAGCGTGACTAAGACGTGACTCAGCATAAAATGAAAGTGCCCCGGCCCTCACACATCGAATTACACAGACTTTGTACTAGGGAGCAGGCAGGGTAAAGTCTGTTTAACGTCTGGTTCAACTGATTCATTTGTGTTAATGCACGTATACCCTCAACACCGTAATACACAATCTTGTTATTAACACCTTTTTTCAGGACAAACTGGGCTATCACATACAGCTCCTTCTGATGATGTCTAGATAAGGGTTGCAGTGTGAAAGGAGATATCGTGTCTAACTTAACTTTACATTTAAGTAGATATTTTGGTCACAAGAGGCATAACCTGGAACTTACTGGCACCTTATTGGGTCCTTTTAAAACTGGAATGGCAAGGTAGCACTTTAGAATACAGCCCAAAAATTACAGTGTAATACAATACTGGGTACCTTTATAGGACAAATGTGTAAGTTCAGGTGAAGAAGATAAAAGGAGTAAGGAGCTAACAACATTTAGTTTGAGAGGGATAGAAATCAATAACACTATTACTGAGTACCTATTAAATAATTACAGGGTACAGTAATGTTGTTATAGGAAACGTGAAAAACTGGTGTTACTGCAAAAATGAAAAGAAAACACTTTGGGAAATTACGTTGTAAAGTTCTTTAGATATGTGGTGAATATTTGTAGTATTATTATTTATTAATAAAGGATGAATTATTATTGCTGATGGGGAGCAAGGGTGCACCAAATATCTATAGCATAGTTACTTGTGTGTTTCCTGGTAAAAGTGTAGGATCCATCTGACGATATGTCATTTCATCAGATCATAAACAATTAACAGGCAAAAACACTTAACACTTGTACAAAAATATTTACCGTGTCATTTATTTCTAGGTCCCTTATAAATTAAAATGTGTTATTTTATTGGTAGCTCCAATATGCAAAGTATTCATTCTGTAATTTGTGGGTTTTAATCTTAAATGTTACTGCAGGTTTATACACAATTACCCTCTAAGTCTGTTTCTAGTCATGTAGGAAAGAGCGAGTAAAACATGATTCATAGCAAATCAATAAAACTCCTGTTATTCAACCATCTTTCCACTCAGGGAAACATAAAAATAGACCTTAAAACGTGAAACTTTATATTTGTCCTATTGTCAACAAATATATATATATATTGTCACTGGATATAATTTAACTGATATATATCACCATGACACTTCCCCAGTTGATTACCTACATTAAGACAATTATTTTTTGTATTACAAGTTTTCTGTAAATGTATGTCAGAATATGCAAAAGAGTCATTGCCTTATTAAATATGTACTAATTTGCTTAAATTTCCAGAACAGAAATCTGAACATTGGATAAAGCCAGGTTCGAAATTCTTGTTTCATTTCGTTTATATATTAGAATCAAAGGTTTTTACAAAAGAGATTTTGGAAAGATCACTATAAATCAGAAAATACTATCAACAGCCATTAAAAATCTATCTTCTCTATGTTTTTAGGAATACAATGTTCATCTCACTATAAATTATTTATGAACTGTGAGAAACTATCAGAATGTAGAGAGGAATGAAAGTGGAAAGTTTGGTGCATGTAAGAGCTACTGAAGTAAGAAAAACTGTTTTAGAGAAAACTGCCTTTAAACATATGTTTAGTAAAAGTCCTTACACTTTGAAGACACTACAGGTGAATAACGTAAATGTCGAAAGTGACCAGTGTATTTTGCCCGTAGTGTCTCGCCTTTAGTAACTATTGCCAACACAGAACATCGCAGCTAAACGCAGGAGCAAACTACAACTGTGATGATAATAATAATAATAATAATAATAATAATAATAATAATGCATAAATCCACAGGTGCTTTAAACTTGCGGGTCTGTTACACTAAAAGACTGACTCGTTCCTTGTTGTAGAAGCGCGTGAATCGCCCCGTAGCATTGCGTCTGACCCGTGAGCTTGTTAGATGTACAGGTCGTTGGTGTATTAAGTTAAATACATTAAACTCTACTTTAAATTACGATAAAATCTTTTTTTTTTAAACAGTAATAATTTGAAGACATTTTCTTGGACCAATATGGGCAACAAGAAGAGCGTATAAATAAATCCTCTGTTATGTGATAGTGGGTTATACTTTTCTTTCTGAATATATTCCCATGTCGTCATTCTAGGCCGCGGGAAGCAGGTCACAGTCAGGTATTTGGAATATGCCTGTGGCATTATGAAAGGTTATGTACAATACAAGGATTCCCCTTCATTTATATCCTAACACAGGTGGATGAAGACCGCCCTCCTTACCTTCCAGCCTCATGCCGACATGAAGACACTTTTGGAATCTGCAGAACGGACATCGCTTCCGTTGACTTACATCGATCCTGCACTCCCGGTTCTCTGCGCAGATGTACTTCTTGTTGTTCTGGACCGTTCTTTTGAAAAAACCCTGCGAGGGTTGAAGAAGAGGAAGGGGTCCACTTGAGGAAGACGGTTCTGTTTATAACGACAACAGATAGGCATTTACAACAACACAACTCCAGCAGAAGTAAATGTACCTTGCAGCTCTCACAGGTGAGCAGACCGTAGTGGTAACCAGAGACTTTGTCTCCACACACTGGACACAGCTCCTCCAGACCCACACCATGTCTGAACTCCATCCTGAAAAACAGCGACCGCTCATCACACGGATTACAACATGAAGAGTGTTTGCAACTGTAGTGAGACATAAAACAAACATCTGATCATATGGAATCCATCGTCTCCTGACTGACCTACCTGTTGACTCAGTGTTCGGCCTGGTTCAGTACTGTAACTGTTAGTAGACTGAAATCAAAGCTGGTGGGGATATTCTTCCAGCTGCGTACTTGCAGATGTGAAGTGGAGTGATGTGATCGTCACGGGAGGGACTCTCCATGGTCCTGATCCCGCGGCTGGCTCATGTAGCCAATGAGCACGTCTCATCATTGACTCACCTGTTTGTGTGTTTAAACAACATGCCTTCATAGCTTCTTTTTTTTCGATTAAGAGTTTTATTGTGCGTTTTCTGAGATTGCACCAAACAGACATTCCATAATGTAATTTAAAGGACAGCAATACATAAACAAAACGACAGACAGACAGATAAACGGACTGAAGCTGCAACGATTCGTCGACCAGTCGATCAGATGATTAACAGAAAATCATTGTAATTCCTTCAAAGTAGTTTTTCATGCAGTAATAGCAGAAAAATCTGTTTTCCAGCCTCTCGAATATGAAGATTTCCTGCTTTTCACAGTTTTTATGTCATATTAATCTGAATAGCTTTGGGATTTGGCCTGACAACGCACGTTATTTATAGACATCACGTTACACTTTGAGACACCGGGATGGACTGGTTTTTAGTTGCAGCTCCATTCTACAATCCTGCTCATATATAAGGTGGTCAGACAATAAGCCAGGGTACTGTATTACTACAGACCATTCAAAGCGAAATAAATAAATGAATACAAATATAAAAATAAATAAAATAAAGAGCAGACAAGTCCAATTTGATTTTAAAGTTGGTGGGTACAAATCACGAAGAGGGCTTTAGTTCTTCAGGTATTACCGGAGGTACAACAAAACAGGGCCATGTTTTTACATCATTTCGATGATGATGCAAATATATTTAAATACAAATACAGCAAAAAGTGATGAGGGGACCTCAAAGCAATATGAATATTCAAATGTGTATTTATTAGATAAGATACTTACATATATAAATATGATGGTATGTGGGCACAGTTCAGGTCTGAGAGATATCAAAAATGAAATTTGAACTCCATTATACCTCTAGCTCAGGATTTAAAAATGCATCTCGCAATGTAGTGTTAGATCCACTATTATAGTGTTACCACTTTTTATACAGATTTTTGAAATTATTTTTAGTTTTTAAGTTTATTTTTAGTTCCATACTCTCCAATCATTCTCTGTGTAATGTTCTATAACTTTCAAGATAAGCAGTATAATAAATACATGAATAAATAAATACAAATAAAATTGAATAAGATACAAACACCATTCCAACTTACACACCTTTATTTATATCTCAATTTTGGTTTGCACGTATAACCTTAACACCGTAATGCACAATCCTGTTAAAATTATTAACACCTCTTTTCAGGACAAACTGGGCTATCAGAACAAATAGCAGAAATGTACCATTGTAATTTATTAAAATAATAGTATCCAATACCAGGTCGGCCTATTTTCACGATCCAGCTATCTGAATCAGTATCAGTAGGCTGATATCCATCAGCATCAGGTTTTTGTGCATCTCTAATCTTTCAACAACAAAATGACATTTTGGTCACTATGCACTGTGACAGCCTAGCCTGTACCCAAGCATACATTCTATTGAATCTAGCGGGACCGGAGGCCATTGAACGTGAACAGTCTTTTGTGTAAGTGGAGGAAGTGAGGGAGCCCAGCGAGGGAAGGAAACGTCCTTGTTCTCACGGAATCTGAAGACAATCCTGAATGCCTTAAGACAAAATTCCGAGAGGTATGCAACCCTCAAACCAATGTTACTATGGAAAGACACATGTTCAACAAACAATTAGAAGGCTGGTGAGACGATTGAACCAAATGTCATTGAAGTGTCAAAGCAAAAGGCTGCACTTTTGGGATTCTAGATCTCTGTGAGGAGCTTATTAGAGACAGACTCGTCTGTGGCATTGATAATGACAATTCGACAAGTGCTACTGCCAGATAGTAATCTGACATTAGCTAAGGCTGTCTCTACCTGTCCAACTCATGACATGATCATGAGAAAACATTGGCTTCTCCACAGCACTCTGTCACAAATGTTGCAGTCCATGCGAGGTTCATGACAAAACAAAAGCATACCGACAGATAAATACTAGGACACAGTGTATTGCCAGCTAAAACAACTGTAAAGGTAATCATTCAGCTAAGAGAGACACATACCCAGCTTTTGGTCAACAGTGTAAAAAATGGAATCATTTAAAAAAGGGCTGCAGAGTCCCAGGAGGAGTTCACCAGCTAGAACGTGACCAAGCTGATACAGAAGAAACATTCTATGTTGACGGCTTGACATAGCAAATGACTGTTGATTCAACTGATGCACAGAAAGGAGAAAATAATGAAGCTTTTGTCACTGCGCAAGTTGACGTGTCAAAAACCACATTTGAGCAAGTAAAGAACGAGGAACAAATAATAGCCTATAGCCACAAAGCTTGTAGCATAAGGAGGCAGCACAATCACAACTGTTTTGATGTGGTCAAGATGCAGTGCCACCTAGAGGGACAGCCATACACATGGTTATCTCACTGTATATCATCCAAGAGGATGTTCCGCCACTGCTCGAGCTACGTGCACGCAGGCAAATGGGGGCTCATTTAGTAAAGACATTCACCAGTTAAGCCCCACTGATGATAACCTGTCCCATTAAATTCAATCAGATTACAGCAATTTCTTCACTGATAGCCTTGAAAAGCTGCTTATACTGTAACCATGACACTCGAGCAGGATATTTTATCCTCCCATTTGGGTTTCTCCAGGCGACCTGCAGTGCTGTTTTTGTTACTTGGCCTTTATAGTGAGATCATTAAATGTAAGAACTCACCATTATATTGGAAAACAAAGATCAGAAATGTATTTAGTTCAGTCAGTATATTGGCTTGCAGGGAAGACCATAGTGTTAAAACATGACTGTACGATAACATCTTTTGTGAATTGGCTATAAAATGTGGTATGACATGTAAGAAATCACACTTTAATTTCTTGGCTTCAGAAATGCAGCCATTTACTATTCACTTACCGAGCCTTGGTGTTCCTGATCCTCAGGGCCCCCGCACACTTCCAGGTTCACTATGTTACAATTAGTTTGTGGTTATCAGATTGTAGCACATTTCTTTGGGAATATTCACCACTTAAGTGGTAGTGGCTACAGGACACATATACTACCTTCTATAAACACAGGCACATGTTTCTAGAGTGTAGTCATGGTCGCCAGAGGATGTCGCAGTCCTATCAGATGAACTCCAATAACTCTTCAGCGACAGCATCTGTCATGTTCCAGGTGTGTTTTTGTATTGCTTTTTAACTGTATGTTATTTAACACTCTAAATGATATCAAAGTGGACAGTGGCACAGTATTTGTTTAAGACACAGTGATCATGGATGGAGGCTTGGTTTCTTAAGTAGCATCAGGTTTGCATTCCTATCACTGCCACTTGGTGTTTCAGAATATTTCAATTAAATATCCTCCATTTAAACTTTGCTCACTTTCTAACTACTTTTCATGATCTTTATCTCTGAAGTGTTACAACGGAGTCATGTTGGTGCGAGGCATGTCCTGTAGTTTATTGGTTATTGTGCAATAATTTGTAATCTTAAACATAAGTATGTGGACATATACTTTTAATAAAATTGTAATTTCAATTTCTTTTTTTAGCTGAGCTACTTCATCTGTTCACATGAAATACCCCCTGAGGTACACAAACCCCTGGTTGTGAATTACAAATTTAATGGACAGGTTGCCATAAAATATGCTGAACACATTTATGGTCCTCAGATGATGAAGCCATTTGTTTTATTGATCCTGCAATCTTATTCTAGTGCCACCTTCATGAAAAATGTAGTAACCTCACCTTTGGCAAGACTCTAATCTTCAGAATCTGTCATCTTTGACAGTCTTTCTTAATCTTGGGTCCACTGAACTCAACACTACTCAAACAGAAACCACCGTTGGTTCTCTCTTCTGTAGCTGCAACATTAAAACATGTAACCAAAAACCATTCTACACCGAAACAGTCTACCCACATCCAATCGGAAGAGTTGGTCATCAACAGTAAACAGGCCGTTCAGTTCAGTATTTCTATATCCAGTAGATGGAGCTGTTGTATTAAACGATAAACATGCCCACAACGGTCCAGTTGTAGCATTATTTATTTATTTATATAGTATTATCCCAGAGGCTGATATGATTGCAGTTTTAAACATAGCTTATGAGGCATTATTGTCTTCATTTGATCCATGACAGTAGACAGACCAACAGGAAACATGGGGACAGATTAATTATATGCAACACAGTCGGAATGAAACCAGGGGTTGTTGTGAATATATATTCACCCTAGACAACTACACTAGACACGTTCCTGTTTTATTCCTTTTTTTAAATATTTATACTTTTTTTTAAATCATTATTATTATTGTTAGCTTGTTTATTTCTTTGTCCAAAACCTTAGAAACACACACACACTCACATTCACACACACACAAACACAACTACACTCATTTCGCAGCTCAAATAGAATCGGTAACTAACTGCTCTTAGACCAATACACCCCAATAACTTGCCTCTTTATTTTTAAATTGTCTTTATCTTATCCACCTTCTCACGGACAATGGACATGTTTTCTTTAATCGTCTTCTCTATTTGATATTCTGCTTTTAATTTTCTGTCCCGTTGTTCAAAATATTTCAACCCTGTCACGTCCATACTGACATCATGTCTTCCTGTGGAGAAGGAGAAGTTCAAAGTCACTGTAATAGGAACCACAGAATGATTTCAGGAAACTTGCATGGTGTTACTCCATCTATTGATGTAATCCTTTATTGAATACATGATATAGACATTTATTGACATAAGAACACATGGATGGAGCAATCTGGAAACTTTGGCTGAGTGCAAACAGAAGGTTTAAAGTGTCAGTTCACCTAAATCCCCCCAACTTTCCAACATCTTTGGTTTTCTATCCTGCATACTTTCAGATATGAGGTTGTGAAATGGGGGAAGACATTTTTTTGGGGTGATTTGGGTGAACTGAACTGTAGACATTCTTGATAACCACCTGAAAACTACAGTTAGACAGATGACGAAGTCATAAATACCAGAGATACATTCTGTGAGTATCAATTGTGA